TCTCTCTCTCTCTCTCTCTCTCTCTCTCTCTCTCTCTCTCTCTCTCCCTCTCCATATATATATATATAAAATTTTTCCCTCTAATTGCCCTAATACTGACAAAGGTCTCATGAGTTACAAATATCATCTTTTCATGCAGGAATGTAAACAGTTCAACTTTAGTAAGTCCCTTATGATTTCTCTTTCCTGTTTACCTCTTCATGTTTCTCTTGAGTCTTGTATTTGAAAGTCAAATTTTCTATTCAGCTCTGGTCTTTTCATCAAGAATGCTAGAGGCGCAAAGCCAAGATGGTGGAGTAAAAGCAGTGACTTGCTTGAGGTCTCCCCCAAACCCCTCCAAACATCTGTAAAAAATGGCTCTAAACACATTCTAAAGCAGCATAAACCACAAAAAAATAGAGTGAAACAAATTTACAGCCCAAGACAGCCTGGACAGTTGATCAGAAAGGTATACTGCGCCGGGTGGGGAGAGGAGCACAATTTGGCAAGAGCACGCAGGCAAAACAGGCCTCAGTAAACCTGGAGCAGGCTTCAGAGTACTGAATCATGGGTAGCTGTGGCGGTTTCCAGACTTCTCAAGCCACAAACGCCAAAGATAACTTAGAAGGTCAGTGGGAAAAGTCTGTGACTGCAGTGAGAGAAGAGCAGTCCCAGCCCCAGTCCCCAAGCTTGGCCCGGTGTAGCGGCTGCTTCTGGAGTTCCCTGCCCACAGACTGAGGGGCAATCAAGTGGCTGCTCAGAGGGGGATTACAAGGACTCTGCTGGTTCAGAATTCTCTTGCTTTGCCTGTCCTTGGATCTGGGTCACAGTTCTGAATAGCAGTCCTGGGGTATGGAGGAGTGCTGGCATGGTGCAGCTTATAGTGGTGATGGAGAGGAAATCCTCCTCCCATTTCCAAGACAGAAAAGAGCGCATGTGGTCACTCACAGATGACAGCACAGGGCAGGAAGGGAGTAAATACCTTGCACCTTATCATACCACCTTGGAAGAACTGAAAATTTACAGGTCCCTAGAAGCATCTCTGAAAACAGCTGCACAAAACCCCTGAAGCTTGGGACATTCTCCACACTGGAAGCAGACCCCTACCTTAACAAAAAGTTTAAAACTCAAGTAATTGGCTGGGATCATGAACAAACAAAGGCGCAAAAACAGTCAGGCCATAGAATCTTTCTTTGGTAACAAAGAAGATCAAAACATACAACCAGAAGAAGACAACAAAGTCAAAGCTCCTACATCCAAAGCCTCCAAGAAAAATATGAATCAGTCCCAGGCCATAGAGGAGCTCAAAAAGGAGTTTGAGAAACAAGTAAGAGAAGTAGAGGAAAAACTGGGAAGAGAAATGAGAGTGATGCAAGAAAATCATGAAAAACAAGTCAACAGCTTACTAAAGGAGACCCAAAAAAATACTGAGGAAAATAACACCTTAAAAAATAGCCTCACCCAAATGGCAAAAAACAAAACAAAAACAAAAACAAAAAAAACACTAGCTTACACAGTTATTGTGAATATAAGTGGGGCAATGTATATAAAAAGTTTTATAAAGCTTAAAAATGCTCTATGAACATCAGCTGCTATTATCTAGACTTGTTACATTTCACTGCTGTAGCAAATTCCCAGTGAGGAAACTCCCTCTACAAAAACAAGTTAACTCTCCTAATTTATAGTTGCAGTGAGTGAAACAACCATAGCAATAGGGGTTCATAGCCAATATGTGCCCCAAGTAGGGTTCAAATCCAGGCTTACTTCTTACTCTGTTTAACAGTATGCCAATTTATTACTCTTGTTGCTGTTGCTGGCTGTCATTTAATTTTGTTCACTCATACTGACTCATTTTAGACAATAGGCACATTAGACATGTGTGTGTGTGTATGTAAGCATGCACGTGTGCGTGTGAGCATGCGTCAGTATAAGCATATGCTTCCCTTTCCTTATCTGTAAAATAAATGGCAGCTGCTATTTTTGTCTATCCAAAAAAAAAAAAAAAAAAAGAATGCTTGAAAGTTCTCTATTTCACTCAATATCCATTTTTGCCTCCAAAGGATTATACTCAGTTTTGCTGGGTAGGTGATTCTTGGTTGTAATCATATCTCCTTTGACTTCTGGAATATTATATTCCAAGCCCTCCGGTCCCTTAAAGTAGAAACTGCTAAATCTTGTGTTATCCTGATTGTGTGCCCCCTATCTTTTATATTTCAAAAATTTCTTGAGTTTCTAAGTCAGTGAAGACAATAAACTATAATTACTTTTCCAAGTTCTCAATTTAAAGCAATAAAATGTCAAGGTAAGCAACATTCCTTACGACTAGTAGCCTATGTTAAAATCTTTTTTATGTTTCTGTCATCTATCAATCAATAAATCAGTTAGCAAGTATTCATTGAATACCTATTCATGCACTGTACTAGGCAGTGAGGGAAGGTACAAAGTAAAAAATTAAACATCCACTCCTTACCATGATTATCAACCAAAGAAAATGCTGACCCCATACTACAAACTTTAAGCAAACTTTTTTATTTTAAAGAAATTACTTGTTGTGATGATGGCTTATTGAACACACGCAAAATACTACCTTCTCCAGCAAAAACCTAAAATTCACACCAGAGTGAATAATGATCAACAAAGTCAATGAGAAACTAACAAAAGTGACTTCTTCTATACCATCACTGCATAAAGTCAGCCTGAAGCTTGCAGGCCATGAGAAAGAGGATCTCCAGAAAAGGTAATGTCAGGGCAAGCAAGATAGCCATTGCCCTCAAACAGAATGTTCAGAGAGACACATGCAGCTTCCCTACAGGAAGTGTGTGTCTTCAGGCCACAAAATAGAGGGCACTCAAGAAAAGAACAAAAAGAAAGACATACTGATGGCCCTGGTATGCTCTAGAACAGGGGCGGGGCAACCTGTGGCCTCAAGCCCACAGGTGGCCTTCTAGGTCCTTGGGTGTGGGCTTCTTGACTCAGTCCAAGTTTTATGTAACAAATCCTTTTATTAAGGGGATTTGTCTGTGAAGTTTGGATTCAGTCAAAGGGCCACATTTGAGGACCCTGAGGGTCATATGTGGCCTCAAGGCCACAGATTCCCCATCCATGCTCTAGAAGCAGTCTGGCAGGGCAGTAGCAATCAAAAGACTGAAAAAAATATAAGAAAGTTCAAGATATAGGTTATCAGAAACTGACTAGGAAGTCCAGTCAAAGAGAGGTAATTTATAAGCATCATCGAATTCTGAAAATCATGATTTAAAAAAGTCTGGACACTATATTTTAAAAAAGCATAGATGAAAACTGCCCCGATCTATTAGAACCAGAAGGCAAAATGAATAAAGAAAGAACACACTAATGACCTTCTGAAATAAATCTCAAAAGAAAAAAGTCCCAGGAATGTCACAGCCAAAACAAACATAAAAAAAAAAGAACTTTCTTTTGAGTACCAAAGAACTAGACAGGATAACATAAACCTGGTAGATTCTACCATAAACAACATGAGATTTTAGAATACAATATTATAGAAGACAAATGATAAAAGCTTACAACCAAGAATAACACCCTGCAGAGCTGAGTATAATCTCATGGGGGAGGGGGAGAGTGGTCCTCTAATGGAAGAGTATTTTCAAGTATTTAAGATGAAAAGACCAAAGCTGAGTAGGAACTTTGAAAAAAGTGTCTA